TGAAGAGAAGGATCTACCGACCTAGAACGGTTTACTGAGAGCATCTGAACCTCGCTATGTACGTGTTGTTCTAGCGACATTAAAAGCAGCGCACAGATGTCTGGAGTAGGGATGTTGCGAATGTGGAATTTTTGACATACGCGGATGCGAATGCGGATGCGGATGTTTAAAAGCTAACGAATGCGGATGTCATGATTTGGGTAAATAAAAAATGGAAAGGTTAATAATTTTTAATAATCTGCCTGAGTTTTGCCCGAAAAAAAATTCACCCGAAAATTTGTATTCCTCCCATAGTAAATATGTACATGAAAACCAAAAGTGAAAAGTGAACCGGTTCGGGGAAAATTAAACTCATGATAAATAAGACTGAATGTTTTTTTAGTACTTGAATTTAAAAATTGGAACATTGTAATTAATAAAAACTTTTTGAAGGGTCGTAAATCAAACCTGCGCCACTATATAACAACTCGCTCGAGGCGACAAACTTGAAAAACTTGAAACTTGGCAAAATTGTAAATTCTTTTCGATTGACACTGCACCAGTTGAGAGAACTTTCAGTTATATTTATTTATTTTTATTGCGGTGCAATAATTACTTTTAGAGAATTTCATCGGGTCTGCAAATGTCGGATGTATCCTCCTGACTTTCATCTTCATAATCTAGCATCATGGCACAATCGTTGTTTAAACACCGTTTTTTTTCGAAAGAATTCTTCATTCTCATTCTTTTGGTTATTTCGGAATTTGTCACGTCATCAGCGTTTTTCGGTTTTAGTTTTTATAACTCATTTTTAATGCTTTCTTCTGTGACTGGTTAGATATACGTCTGTGCAATTGCACAATATTCCAGGGACCGAAAATAACAGTTATTTTTTCCGAGTTAAATTTGACCTAATATTTTTTATTTCGAAATAAACGTCCTATCCGGATAATAAAGAAACCGCTTATCCAAATTAAACAAATTTGGTATCATATGAAAGGGGACTGAAATAGCTTTTAAACAGAAATATGAATGAAGGTCACCACCTCTACTATATTTTTTTATAACTTAATACTAAAGAAATTCAGGTAAATACATACCTGACCCAATATTTGTTCTATCCCACCATGCAAAACATGAGAAATAGGCAACAATCGTCAATGGCAACAAATTGGCGACTCACCGATTTATTGCTGTGGTGACAAATCGGCAACATCACTTCATTCATGTCAATTTTGAATAAAAAAGTTCTCAAAAATTCCGAAACTTATGAATATGGCGTCAATAGTATTGGCCAAAAGCATCTAAATTATGCTCAAGGACAAGATTGATAAAATAGGAAGCCTCACAGCGAGAAAATGAATTAATTCCGATTGTAAGTTGCAATTTGGTATACAAAAAAATAAATGAAGTATTAAAAAGAATAAAATTATTCCAAATATCGCCTGAAGCGATAAGAAAACGCTTCGCCCAGGCGAGTTGCCTTCGGCGGACGTTTTAGAGCGACCGGTAATAGGAAATCGATTCGATGGCAATATTACCGGCAATAAATTTGTTTCCGAGGGCGACACGTTTTCTTATTGCCGGCAACACAAATTGTTTGGTGGGATGGTAATTAATTAACATTTTTTATGGAAATATTTTTCAATGTGAGGCTTTCCTCTTTTAGACATTTCAATTTTAAAGCTATTCAAGTCCTCTTTCATTGGATACCAAACTTGTTTAATTTGGATAAACGCTTTGTTTATTATCCGGAAAGTACTTTTATTTCGGAATAAAAAATATTTGGCCAAGTTTAACTCGTAAAAAAATAACTGTAATTTTCGGTCCCTTCAATATTTGCATTCGCAAAAGATCCACATTGATTTTTGCGAATGCGAATGTTAAAATTATTGCGGAAGCTCCGCGGTTGCGAATGCGAATGCGAATATTCGCAGCAACCCTGGTCTGGAGTGGGGTTTTGTGGCATGCTTGTAGCTTGATCTCCTGTGTCTTACTTAACCAAATTGGCGCAGCATAGTTTTGAACCGGGCGTTTATTTATCATTTGCTGCCAGCGAGCGACCAGAGAAATTATTTCTGGCTCTGTACCTTATTGTCGATTGCGGTTGTGTGCGCGGAGAAAGGGGACAGACTGACGACTTTGTCATAGGAACTCACTCCCTGATTTCCGTAAATCCATAATGGCTAGAGTGATCACAGATTGGCTATGGATCTTGTTGAGGTAGTAGTACCCCTATTGACCCAATTGTTTTAGCACTGGCAAGCTTATTTCGCCGGTACCAATGCCTTTGGAGACGTTTGCCTTTCGAATGGCGACTCGAACTTCGCTATTGGTGAAAATAAGATGCGCACGCGATTTTGGCAGTTTGTATAGCCTTCTGATCACTCACCGCTTGTACTTATCCATCGTAAGATGGATTGATTTCGATCCGACGAGCCGCGATCACCGAATGAGAAATTTATACTTTGTCATTGCGCTTCGTCGTGTTGGGCGGGCGTGGATCTTACGGTTTACAAATGCTTACCTACGCCAGAGAAGCAGTGACCACCTTACAGAGAACTAGCGTTGGCCAACATGAAAATCTGTTGATGTAAGAAGAGTCATGAAAGTGCTTCCGGCTAGGTCCGAGGAAGCTTTGTTGAAGCGCGCAAGCAAAGCCGGCAGGTTTATGGAGCAAGATGTTTAAGCATTGGTGGTCGGATGCAATTATTTGCGGAGAACTTTGTATCCAGTGGTGCGTTGTTGTGTAAGACAGTCTCTTGGAACATAGCCGACTCTATCCGTAAATCCATGCAGACTCTTGAAGACGGTTATTTCCTCGATATTACTCTGGAGTCCGTTGCAGTTCATTTGTAGGATTTTCGTTTGCTTTGGGAGGCTGGTCGCTGGGCGGAGGGTGAAGGAAAAGTGAGGTTATCGACATTGGTCCTTTTGCGCTCGCCGCTATGTGCGATGCTTACTGGTGAAGGTGATTGCCAGTGTCAAAGAAGGTCAACGAATGTGGCCAAGGAGTTCTGCACCAGGGGTCGAATGAGTCACTTATTTACTCGAAACTGGCATTAACCAAGGTAATAATCGTCACTTTGCAATATATTCTGTGCTGACACAAAGAGCAGACAATGTGAGGAACCAAGAGCTGCTGCTATGCCCTCACACGGAAATTGCAGCGGGATGAAAGCGGGGTGTTGTTCAGGTGAGCTCCGCGGAACCCCTTAAGTGCTTGCTTCCACCGAAGAGTTGCGCGGTTTAGAGGCTGTAGAGGCAGCGGGTACCGCACAGATTTAAGAATAGCGGCCACATACCTTAAGTTCCATTCTCTATGCGACCTAAAAGCAGAATATCAGTTGCAGCAATTGACTCAAACCGAAGTGGGGCACAGATGGAACTGTCTCTGCCATAGGCAGCAGAAATAGGTTTCTGGTCTTTGGTTGGACTCACTGCTGGTCCGGAGAAGAAGGGTAAGGAACAAGCCTGAGCACAGGATTGAACGTTTTAACATAGAGGGTGTACATTAGGGTGATTGACTCGGTTTTTTTTAACATGTTTTCGCCGTTTTTAAATCTTTATTTTTCGAATATCGAATAAAGCGGATTTTTCATCGAGAATACAAATCTTGCGCTCTAAATAAAAGTTATGAGTTTTTCGAAGTTTTCAAGGCGTTTCCCAGTTTAAGTGATACCCCTAATTAGTTTTAAAATTGTATCCTAGTGTATTTTAGGATGAACAGCACCCGGATTCCAGCATTCGCTATCGCCAATTTTGATCGCTAAAAATCTCAAAAATAATATTGTTTGCCGAGGGGTGACCACTATTTGAAAAAAAATGGTCTGGTGTTGCAGTGAACCTCCAAGCACTCGGCTACGGCGGCAAGAGCACTACTCAAAACCGAAAAAATGTCAGAAAAATTGCTGTAAAGTGTTAAAAAAGTTAAAACAAAACCAAACGTGATTTTTTCACAAATTTATTTGTTTTACTTTTGATCTAAAAAAAACTTTGTACTTATTTTGCTTTGCTCTTTCCTAAATAAACCCAGCCAGCAAGAAAACTTACATTTTACGAACATTATGTTTCACGAGGGATTTTCGATCGGCGATATCCAGTTTCGAGTTCGTTTACGATGATTTTGCTGCCTGGGAAAGCTATCTTTGCTGTCAATAGTTTTATTGTAATTTTTGATCATAACTTCATACCAGCATAAGTATTTCACTGTATTAAAGCAATGGAAAATAAAACCGGTTTATTCGTTTTTTTTTTGTATTAATTTCAAAATTGGGTACCGGTTTTTGCAAATTTAAATTTTTCGAATATCTAGAAAACTGGTTTTGGTAAAGGGGAAATAATAATCGAAGACCCTAGTGTACATATGTACATAAATGTGAAAATACAAAAGATTCCAAAGTATTTTAGAAATAAAACACATTTTTGTTGCTGTACTCCATAATTCAAATTTAAAACGAGCTTATCACAATAGACTTTATAATAGGTTTTTCATGTAATGTTTTAAAATTAACAGAAGTATATGTACGTTAACTTTGCTACAATTTATGAACACAAATATATGTAATACTTCTATATTGGCAGTAAGCTAACTTCTCAATATGTAAGCATTCCGAAATCAAAGCGAGACAGTCTAGTACCGTGTTTGTCAATGTATCGTGTACTTGAGTGCCGTTTTTGTATATGTGTTGTGTACATGTTTATTTATAAACGAATGTATTCCTTTTCTTTCGTACGTGTTTATTGATATATCTGTACTGTAGTGTTTTCGGACGGTACTAGCTCTTACTGCCAATATAGGAGTATTACATATATGGGTTTACGCTTTTCCTGGCAGCAATTGAAATACAACATTTTTTTTACTCAAATCAATGACATAATTTTATAACTTAAAAAATATCTAAACAAGCGTTTCCATAACTATTAGATACAGAGTTACACAAATCGACAGACATTAAACTTCCGCATCGCTTGTACTCGGCAAATTTCACATATCCTCGAATACCATAAAATTTATTTAGTACTAAAAAAAAAAACGTTTATCTTCTGAATTTTTACAGCAACAAGGCGATTCCCGCCGAGCCAGATGCGACAGTGAGCGGAGCAACAGGCAACCCAGAAATACAGCAACAGAACGCAACCGAATCTAAACAAGCAACCCCAAACTCAATCAAATCTGCAGCATACTCACAAAAATCAACCGCATCTGTGCAATCAGTTACACTCGACAATTTTAACGACAAGGCTTCACGAAATAGTGCCAGCGCAGACCAAGACGATACAACTGATAACAGCTCGCCTCTACAAATGGGTGCACTACAGGATGTATGTAGCGATAATGAATCCACCAGTCCATCTCCCACGAAATGGAGAAGCGACCCAGACGTCTTACAGCTGGAAGATGTTCAGGACATAACCACTTCGAGAGTCACATTGAGTGGCAATAATACGCCGCTTCAGAAAAACGGCAGCTTGGCCAGTTTGCAAAGCAAAAGCGATAGCATTAAAACTCAGCTTGGCGATACGCCTACCGTGTTGTCACGAGCACAATCTGCAAAGTCGTTGTTGATTGAAGAAGACATAGAGGATGATAGCAGCTTTGTAGTTATGGATGAGCAGCATACTGAACGACATGAAAGTCATATTCACGGGCAAGCACTTGAGAAAAGTGCACACAGTAAAGATGGCACATCAAAGAGCGAATATGAATATACGCATGTCGCTGCAAAAATGGATGATGCCGCATGCCAATGCAATACCGTGCCATCACAATCGCAAACACCCAGCAACTCACGTCCACAATCGCAAACACGTTCGCGATCACCTACAATAGCAGAGTTAAAAATTCTTTCGCGTCGCAATTCAATGATCAAATCCATGGAATCGCTATACGAGCGTCCACCGTCGAAGCAAGAGCTGATTTACGACAACACCAGCACTGAATCAGGTTCTGCAGCAAGCTCTCAACTCAATACCACCATACCTATTAAACCACAGCATACTCCGCTAAAGCAAAAGGCGAAAACATCACACTTCTTGAAAAATCATCGTCGCATTTCGCCCGTAAAGCAAGCGATAAAAATGCCACCAGCTGAGCTCTATCCACCAACACTGCAGCGCTTCGAAAAACCTCGTGATGCCTTGCTAAAGACTTTCGATCAGCTCGACTCGAGTAACTGGGAAATTATCATGCTGGGTCTTAAATCTATGGTGCGCATGATGCGTCATCACCCAGAGCATTTGGAAAATCAAATGCATATGGTTTGCATACAGCTGACACGATCGGTGCGTAATCTGCGCTCGCAAGTAGCGCGCGCCGCATGTCAGGCTGCCACCGAACTTTTCACGCTCAAATCGAAGTGTCTGGAGCAGGAATGCGATGATTTGGTATGTGGGCTGCTGCATCGTACTGCTGACACAAATCGATTTCTGCGTGCCGATGCGACACGTGCCCTGGAATCAATGTGTGATAATTTAACGCCAACAAAAGTACTTAACATACTCACCACAAAGGGTGCACTACATCAGAATGCATTGGTGCGTACGACTGCTGCTAAACTGTTGCATCGTCTTGTGGAGCGTCTGGGCAGTGATAAGGTGTACACGATGCAGCGTGAAAATCGTGATAAATTCTTTGTCACAAGCGCCAATTTACTCTTGGAGGGCAGCCTAGAAACGCGCAGCTACGCTAAGTCAATATTTCGACTGCTCTCCAATCATCCGAACTACAACCGTCTAGTCATAGAAGTGATACCAACGCGTACATATCGGAATGTTGAGAAAACGTTGAAGAGTATACGTTAAATAATTACTGAATTAGAGCGTATATTAAAATTAGTTTTGAAGTAATATAACCAATTTGTACATACAAGTGTATTTAAATAGTTTTTTGACGATTTTTTGAAAACGAATTGCTAACTGGCACATTAGATTAATTGTGATTTGATGACAATTGTAATTACACGTACATATTTTATTTACAGTTTTAGGTTTTTAGAATATACATACATATGTAAGTAATGTACATGAATCAAGTATATAAGTAATCAATATGAATATCGCAATTTAAATTACATATATTTAAAATGTATAAGATAATCGTTTTAATGGATGCATGCAAATACATATTTATGTTTTAATAAAGATGAACTGTTATAAATGATACTCTTCGTTTTATATTCACCTCTTTACTTCTTATAGTCGTTCGTGGCGGTAAGTATAAAAGTTATTTAGTAAACCTATACAAATAAATAAATTTACGCACTAAATGACTATAATTACATTGTTAAAGTTGTGCGATAAATTTCTTATTTTATTTGCTTTTATAATTAAAACACTACAAGAGATAAAAGTTAATTTATAATCATGTATCAATTCAATTTCAAATTATACCAAATTTCTTAAATAATCTTTTGAAACGCCACTTATAATTATGCCAAGGATCCAAATTATTTTGGTTGATGGAAGTTGTGTATGTATGTATATCAGCAAGCAATGTATGTCAACGTATACTGCCCCTACCTGTGATTATCATTAACAATGTTTGTGGTATGTCTTTAATTTCCATCATTTGCAATGACACCAACTTCTTTGCCGCCATCGGCTGCCCTCTGTTATCTACGCTGCCGACGTTCATCACGTTTGTAGGGATGTGAACGGGAGTGCGAGTTTGAATGTCTTGCGCCGCGGTCATTGTCAACGTCTCGTTCGCGTTCTCTGCCACCTCTGTCTCGACCTCTACCGCTGTTACCCTTTGTCCAGTCAGGTGAATTTGTCCGAAACGGGTTTGAAAATTGCGTCGAGTTATTGTTTTCGTTTAAACTTGGATCATAAAAACTTGGATAGCTCGTACTGCGTAACATATTATTATCACCTGGGCGGGGTGTGTATCGCTCGCAATCAGTGGGCAGTGAACGTCGTTTATTGGATGCATTCGGATCTTCTTGAAGCTTAATTGTTACCATTTTCCTGTAAAACGCTAACCCCGCAAATAACCTGATAGCATAAGGCGGAGTACAACGATGTGAATAAACAACGAATCCAAAACTACGTTGACGGCCACTATTGTCTTTTGGTATCCGTACCGCTTCGACTGGCCCTGCTTGCAGGAAAACCTCATAAAGTAGATCTTCGGTGACTCGATCATCCAAATTGCCAACAAAAAGCGTGCGTAACTGTTCATCATCCTCGTCGTCTGTGTCTGCAGCATTGTCTTCCACCATAGCATGTTGTGCTAAATGTGGCGGCCGTTGACTCAAGGAGTAGCTTGATGGTGCCGACATCGCATAAAGCATTTGATTTGCTATTTGTATTGCTGCTATCTGCTGCGCCTGCCACATTTTTGTAATATTACTGAAATAATTTGTCGATTTTACTGAGAGGAACAGAATCAAATTAATTAAAAGGAATTTTCCTGACCAAACCAATGCTTGTTTTTCGATTTGTTTGCCAAAATCCACGTTAGTGCTGCAGAATGTATTTTATTTTGACGTTGAAGGTACCGAGTATTTAACAGTGCTGCCGCTGTCTCTTCAATTGAAGTTTTTCACATCACTTTGGGTGCCTTCACTTCGTCACTTAATTTTACTTCACTTTACACAAATTATATATATCTCCAAAATAATTGATTCATTTAACCAAAATCAGCAATCTTTTGCTAAAATTCTTGTTAAGTAGTATCTAAGTATGGTAAAGAAACTTTTCGCAAAAAGCTACTCACAAACGCCTAATAAATTATATCTCCGCTCTGGCATCGGTTATTTGTAATAAGTTTTGATTTTCATTTTCATATGTATAATTGTAATAAAGCGAACAGAACTGAATGGATGGTTAAAAGTACTTATTTCGTATGCACTGTTTATCTCTGCGGGCAATGAGGCATAATGGGAAATAACTAATTAGCGCATTGGCTTCTTTTATTGCAAGCAGACATGCATAAAATTCTGATATTTTATAAAATTTTAAATTTTTTACATTTTTGGGAAAATAAGTTTTTGAACCTTGTAGTGTCAAATTCCAGTTTTTGCCTCTTTCTGATTGACTGAACCAGAAAACTTTCAAATGCTGAATGGCAATTTTTTCCCCCGTTTTCAAAGATTTTTTCTGGGAAATGCTGACAGAACCATACCGTTAAAAAATATTTTCTCCTGTAAGCACGAAAAAAGGCATCACTTAAAACTTTTAGGGGAAATGCAACTCTTCACCTTGCAGCAACTCAATTTCTATGTATGTTGACAACCCTGTAATGGGCAAAGCTTCCCAACAAACATCAAAAAAATATTTCGCTAACCTTGGAGAAATTCATAGTTCTCAAGTTGATATCCAACATCATTCTCCAACTCATCTCTAACCGACGCGCAGATACGTAAAAAGTGATATGAAAACAAATTTTTTAATTATCAAGTGAAAAAGGGAAAGCTATATAAAAAAGAAAATTACCCAAAAAAATTAAATAATCTTCAAAGTATCCTTAAATAATCTTGAAAGAATAATACTAATAATTGATAATACAATCAGGTGGAGAAGGACTTGGCTTCACTTGGCGTTTCCAATTGGCGTCAGTTGGCACAGAAGAGAAACGACTGGCGTGCTTTGCTGAACTCGGCCAAAATCGCTTAGGCGGTTACAGCGCCAAAAAAGAAGAAGAAGATCTCACGATGGTCGGTTCTACGTTCACCAGATCGACCCGGTCACTCCGGCCAAGGACCATCACCTCAGCATACATCCCCGAATTTCACAATTTTTCATCATCGGAGCAGGACCTTCCGGCAACTCTGCTCCGCATTCTCCTCGCCCGAGCCGGAATCGAAAAAAACCCTGGACCTTACACGTGCAGTGTCTGCGAACTCAGAATTCACCACCGCTCTATATCGGTGCGCTGCACAAATTGCAATCGATGGTGCCATCTCAGACAGTGCTCAGGCCTCAACAGCCACAGAGAATGGCAAGCAAACTACATCGCAGCCTGTTGCCAGCCTGTAACCACCGCAACGCACAACCAGCAGCCAGGCGAACCAAACAACACCCGACAGCAACAAGCACCCCGGCAACAAAACACACATAACCTCAACTTATCACACCAAACGCAACATTACTCAGCAACGCAAATGCAATCACATAACCTCAACGTATCACACCAAATTCAACATCACACAGCAATGCAAAGGCATACCAGAGGGCAACGTACGCAATCACACCCACATGCACATCCCGCAACTCAAGAGCGGCAACAACCTAGCACCACCAACAGGCAAGTCTGGCTGTGCTGTGTATGCAACAACCGCATACATGGCAACGCCACGTCCGTTCAATGCAGTGGCTGTGAAGGATGGTGTCATTTCCGCAATTGTTCAGGCCTAAATAGCACACGGGACCGGTTACCCAACTATCTGGCTCCCTGCTGCACCATACCCAACAACAATCTGCAACCACCAACACCCTCGCCCACTCAGCAAGCTAACCCCACGTATTTGCAACCTCGAACGCCAGAGCGAGCAACTACACATCAGCCAGACCAGCAATCTGAAAGCCACCACAGACTAAATGAACAACCCCAAATTCGGATCTGGACATGCACGGTATGTGCAACCCAGATCCGCGCCAACGTAGCATCCGTTCAATGCAACAGGTGCGAGGGCTGGTGTCACTTCCGCAGCTGTTCGAGGCTGAGAAGGCTACGCGACCACTCCAGCGCCTACGTCGCCCCCTGCTGCTCCCGGCCACCAAACACGACCTCGGCGGCCACACCACACACCCCCGCCATACCGCCCCTCCAAACAATACCACCTTCACAACAAAACCAGTCTCCACTTACACCGGCGGCCCGAACAAACCAACCTAGTACCATTGCCATTATGCACATCAACATCAACGGCCTCCAAGGCAAAATCCCAGAGGTGACCGACTTCATGTCGAGGCATAACATCAAAATCGCGGCAGTACAAGAAACAAGGCTCCGCAGCGGTTCTAACCTTCTCACCTGCGACGGATACAACGTAATCCGCAAAGACCGCCTACGCGACAGAGGAGGAGGCATCGCTTTTATCATCCACCACTCAGTACAATATAGAAGCATCACGCCTGCAATCGACAGCGCCGACCTCTTCATCGAATGCCAGGGTATAGCCGTTACTTCAGGACACACCGATCTGAAAATCATCAACGTCTACATCCCACCCATCACCAGTTGTACGCCAGGATATCGTCCAGATATCAGCCCCCTACTCATCGGAGATAACACGCTAGTGATAGGCGACTTCAATGCCCATCACGAGCTCTGGCACTCCAACCTCGGCAACGACCAACGGGGTACAGCGCTGTCAGAGCAAATTGATGACTCCACCTTCTGCTGCCTGAATGACGATGCCCCAACGAGACTCACAGACACTTGCAGCAGCTCGCCTGACTTATCTATCGCAAGTGCAAACTTAATCAACTGAACCACATGGCGAGCCATGATCTCGTTGTCCTCCGACCACCTTCCCATCATACTATCCATTGACCGCCCCAACGACTTTGTTTGCTCCGAACGCCGTACCTATGTCAACATCAAAAAGGCCAACTGGGACGGCTTCAGAGACTACGTGAACACCCACATAGGTGCCCTACCAACTCCACCAGACGCTCGCATAGCCGAGCGTAAATTCCGCACGGTCCTAAACGCGGCAGCTGCCCGCTTCATCCCAGCCGGACGCATACCGGAGATCCGACCAGGCTTTCCGACCGAAGCGGCAAGACTCGCTGACGTCCGTGACCGAACCAGGCGAGCCAATCCCGAAGATCCTAGCATCAAGGATCTTAACGCTGAGATCAAGCGCCTCGTAAACAACCACAAGCGAAATAAATGGTGGGAGCACCTCAAATCATGCAACCTTCAAGAGGGCGTAAGCAAGCTATGGACTACTGTAAAGTCCCTCTCGAATCCGACGAAGTATAACGACCACACGGCCATCAAATTTGGCAACGAAATTCACACCGACTCCAAGAAATGCGCGCGTGAATTCTGCCGACAATTTATTGCACACCCTGCGAGGAGCATAAGCCAACGCAGCACACTCCGCAAAGCACACAACATCCGAGCAACTGACACACCACCAGCATTCACACCCAACGAAGTACAAGACGCGATTCGTAAGGCCAAGGCATCGAAATCGGTCGGCTCAGATGGCATCTCCATGCTGATGCTAAAGCAATTGGATGCCCCGGGAGTCGAATACCTCACCAATCTATTAAACGCCTCACTAGCCACACACACCATCCCAGAGATATGGAAAAACGGGCGAGTAATCCCCTTGCAAAAACCTGGGAAGAACGCGGAATTAGGTGAATCCTACAGACCGATCACACTCCTCTCCCCGGTGGCCAAAACCCTAGAGACGCTACTCCTCCCGCAACTGACTCAACACCTGCATCTTGCCTCACATCAGCATGGATTCAGGAAGCTACACAGCACCACCACTGCATTAAATACCATCACGGCGCAAATAACCGACGGTTTGAACCAAAAGCGCCCCTGCGCCCGCACCATCCTAGTGGCACTAGACCTATCAAAGGCCTTCGACACCGTTAATCATGCAACACTTATAGAAGACATCATCTCGTCCACCCTACCGCCGCACACAAAACGTTGGATTGTTAGTTACCTCTGCGGGAGGCAATCATCTGTTGTATTCAGAAACAAAACATCAAAGCCACGTAGGATTAAGCAGGGTGTACCACAAGGCGGGGTACTATCACCGATCCTGTTCAACCTATACATAGCGAAACTCCCACCTCCACCTCAGGGAGTCTCCTTAGTCTCATACGCGGATGACTGTTCCATCATGGCAACGGGCAACAACATCGACGGCATGTGCACACTGCTCAACCGCTACCTCGAGGACGTGTCCCGATTTTTCACAGCGCGCAGCTTACAAATCTCGGCCGCTAAGTCAACAGCTACACTCTTCACCACGTGGACAAAAGAGGTGAGGCTCGATCTGAACGTGTTCGTTGGCGGAGTCAAGATTCCGACAGTCAACCACCCAAAGATACTAGGCGTCACGTTCGACAGTCTCATGTCCTTCTCGGCACACACCACCACAGTTTGCAACAAACTGCGAAGTAGAAATAAAGTCCTCAAGTCGCTCGCCGGCAGCACTTGGGGAAAAGATAAAGAAACTCTGCTTGTGACATATAAAGCGATCGGCCGGTCCGTTGCAAACTATGCCGCCCCTGTGTGGACAGTAGGCACGAGTGACACGCAGTGGAAAAACCTTCAGACATGCCAAAATGCCGCTCTACGAACCGCGACAGGATGTCTCCTTATGTCCTCCGAACAACACCTACACGACGAGACTTCAATGCTCCGGGTAAAGGATCACAATATGCTGCTGTCAAAACAGTTCCTGCTAGGCTGTCACAGAACAACTCACCCAAACTACAGTCTGACATTGAGAGCAGAACCACCAAGACACGTAAGGAGACACCTCAGTCATCTAGAAGCAGACATCGACCAACATCTTAATTCACCACTGAGCCGCGAGGCATACCTTGAGGGAATCAACAACCTGCATCGCGAAGCAGTCATCTCCGCTACACGAGGACGCCACGAAAACATAGTCCTCGGTGGCCGACCGCCTCCCATCGATATGAGCGAACTCCAACTCCCGCGCGAAACCAGAACCACGCTAGCTCAACTCAGATCTGGCTGGTGCAGCCGCTTAAATTCATACAGAACCAGATTAGACCCAGAGATCGCTGACACCTGCCCAGCATGCGGAACTGGTCCACACAACACCACACACTTGTTCGCATGCCCTACATATCCCACCCATCTGACACCCGAAGCGTTGTGGACTCAACCTATCGAGACTGCTCGCTTCCTGGGCCTAAGGTTGGAGGAGTCAGATGGGGAAGATGAATAAACAACCAACCAATTCGGGGACTACGTGCTGTTACAACAACAACAACAACAACAACAAGAAGAAGAAGATAATACAAGAGGAGTAATAAAATGAAAAATTAATATTTAAATTAATCTATATATGTCGTTTCAATCAAAAAGGTGCAAGTTATTTTACTATTTCAATTTCAGTATTTCAATAATATGTTTGAGACCAACTGGAGAATTAAATTGGAGTTGATGTTGGGAACTAGTATTTTCTCAACTTTAGAAACAGTCCTTTTTTCATACAATGAAAAATGTCCTTTTTGTTGAGAACGCTATGATCCTCCACTTGAGGTACTATTGAGAAATGTTGGAGATTTGAGAAATACCTTAATTCTCAACTTAACCTCAAGTTGAGCTCAAACCTAAATCTTTGTTGGGAATTGTACCACTAAATTCAACAGCCGAAGAGTGATCGGATTTTAAAAAATGCTGTACGGTAAAATCTGGAAAAAAATGTGGCAGATCTCTGGGATTTTGATCAAACTTTGTACAAAGATTACAAAAATTCTGCAAAGCTTCACCTAAATTGCAAACTTTTTAATTACTCTAAAAAAATTTAATTTTAGTATAATAAAGTGCAAGATTTTTCCTTGACAGTGTAAAGTAGTTCCTCCATATCAAGATATTTGGGGTGTTCACAGTTCGTTCCAAATAGTGTCTGAAAATGTAGACGTCTACATTTTAAGACGTTTTCTAACCGTAAAATCTGTGGTGTTGTTGTTTTCCATACAAAATTGGAAAACGACGCCGTCTACATTTTGTCACACTCAAAGGTATGTTTTTTACGCGTCTACATTTTGCAACCTCGCAGCAGGGTTGCATTATGGCAATACTAATCACATTTTTTTTATTCATTGGGCACGTTTTTTGTATTTGCATTTAATTTGAGCGCAATTTCTGATGAAAAGAAACAAATCAAGGAAAAGAAATAACAAATATTAGGAATTGGTAATTAAGTTAAATAATTACAATATTTCAGAAACAAAATCGAAAGGCGATATATAAAAAATGCACGCAAAGAGGAAATGTCTGGCAACATCAGCAAAGTTTTGAGACGATTTTGCGACGACTGCTAGAAAGGGGTGCTCACAGTTTGATGCTAAAGATGTCTCAAAATGTAGACGTCTACATTTTCAGACACAATTTGGAACGAACTGTGAACACCCCAATTGTTCGAACATATTTTGAGAGATTTCCGCAACCTTGCGGAGTGCTGCCAGCTTTTTTTATCACATCACGAAGTAGCGAACAAATGTTGCACGTTCCAGACACAGCTAATTGGGACTTGCCGATTTTGACAATTCTCAAGTAAAAGTAAAAAACGCCTCAGAAACTTTAGATGCACTTAAATTTGCTAATACTTTTACAAAAATGGCCGTTTTTAACATTTTCGCTATTAATTCTTTTTTATAAATTATATATTTTGCAATTTAACACAATAAAACCACGTTTCCTGTCGAAAAATTTATTACTGAGAAGATTTACTACTTTACAGTTTATTTTATCCTCCCATTCGGCTTTATTTACTTATATTTGAAAAATGTCATCGTCGCCGCGAATGCGGAGCCCTGTATTCTATCATTCTTGTTACCATATAGTGTTTAGTTTTGGACAATTTTTGCTCTTAAAATTAAGATAATTATATTAAAATGCTCAAAAACGCGAATATGTGGTAGATTTCAGACCTTGAGTGGTAGATGTGGTAGATGCTCAAAAAAAGTGCCAGATCTACCGCAATGTGGGGTTAAGTCCGATCACTGCAGCCGAACGTTCTCTTAGTACGGTGACCAGATTTCTGTGGCCAAAAGTCGGGACATTTCTAAATCATCGAATCCGAACATATACTACTTTTATACGTAAGCTATTTGCAAATAAAAATAATTTGCAAATACCTAAGTCACTGTTTATTCGATGGTGAAAAATTCTTTTTTAATATTGCCTGATTTTAAAAACCCAATAATATGTCCATCGAAAAAGAAAATAAAATTAAAAATGGCAAGGTCTTGATTATAAAAAGGCAATAAGATGACCATCGAGAAAGAAAATAAACCTAAGAATGGCGGCGTCTTGCGCTTATTTGCAAATAGTACCACTAATCAAAACTTATTTGCGTGATTTAGTTATTTACAAATAAAAATTTAACTCAGCGTTTATACGGCAAAGTTTACTATTTTGAAAATTGTTATTTGCAAAAAATACGTGCGTATAAACGTAGTAATAGTACAATTTCGTTTTTAGAGAACAAAATTTTTTAAAATTATCGCAAAACCTATAAACACACTGTATATACGCGAGAATGTTAATAGGGAAAAGACTTTTTCTCAAGTTTTGGCTACTTTTCTTTGTTTAAGAAATGTTTATTATTTTTTTATGAAAATATTACTATTTAAAAAAAATGTAAGTCAAAATTCAAAACTTTATAGAACATTCATAAAAATTCGACGAATTTTAACAAATGTTGATCAAAATTGTAAACATTTTAATCAGGCGCCTTACTCTGTAGTTCGAATCCATAGTAAGGCGTTCGAATAGAACTTCTTTTTGATTCGAACTACAGAGTAAGGGCTCAGATTTTCTAAAATTGTGCAGTTTTGTAGCCCATTAAATTTTAGTACAATAAAGTTTGAAGTTGTACCCTTGATTTATGAAAATTTTTTGTTCGCACATTTTCTTCCATCCAGATTTTTTTCCACAAAAAAATTTACCAAAAATCAACGGTACTCATGTTTCTAAGAAATCTAATTAAAAAGCTCAAAATATTGATGAATCTTTGTCGAATTTCGTACATTTTTGTACAAAAATTTTGGAATTTGTATGTACCACAATGTACTGATTAAAAGTTCTACAGTTGAACGCCGTAGTCTCATGTGGGCTTTGAATTCACTTTCGTTGTCACCTTCAACGACTTCACCAAAGTTCTCACGTTTGCTGCTTTCTTCTCGTTCCGGTTCATCAAGGCTTGAGGAAGATTCGGAGCTGGAGCTCGAAGGCAAGCTATTTAACATCCCCAAGATACCAGCACTGCCGCCAATGAGCTCTTCCTCATTTTTTAAGTATTGGGAAATCTGAAATTTTATTTTTGACTAAATAGATGATAATAACCAAAAAGAGCACTTTGTTACCAAATCTAGTCGCTCGTTGTCCATTTTTGTGTTTTTATTATAAATTCTGCTCAATTTTCTCTAAATAATTGCAAATATGTATGCACATAAATTTCTTGTTTTGGTTACTTTATGAACTGTCACATAACTCGGTGCTTCCAGGCAATTCATTAAGTGCTTCCCAACAAATGTCATTTGTGCCAGCTCATTTTCAGTACTTCCAATCTAATTTATTTATGCCAGTTATACCCGATTTACATGATTCAAGTACTTGAAAGCAATTCTTGCTTATTCTCTTTTGTGTTTTCTATTTGCTTTTACACGTTTCAATTCTGTTGAACTCAAGTTTTTGGTTCTTTAAATGGGAAGCAACGAAAATGCCAAAAGCAAAGCAAGAAAGTGGAAACGACTTGACGGTACAGACGCATGTGTACTCGTCCCTTTTCTTCTCACCCCCTCTCTTCCACATGCGAGCAGAATTGAATTCAATACTTGAACTGTGTAAAAGCAGTCTTACACGTTCTTTTCGCCATTCGCTAACTGTTGGCGAATCGATGACGGCTAATAAAACGCAACCAAAGATCATAGAAAACAAGGATGCTGGCTATGTTTATGGCTCCCTTATATTCTATGTCCTTTGTGATAACGAAAGTGCTGCCGCAAAATCGGAGGACTCATGCGTCCCGACTTACGAAAAATATTCATCGGGCCAATTTTCTCAAAATCGGTACTGTCACGTCAAAATCGGTACGAGTGGTCACCGTATCTATCAGTGGAAATACTTTATAAAGGTGTTCTCACACGATATGTATTTGCATCTGTAAATGTGACTTTATCAATACATATGTAATTGCGTATGTCAGTCAAATTCACAGTCTTTATTTAACTATTTAAAAATACGTTCTTTGAAAACGAAATAATCTAATCTCAGATGATTCTGTTTGTATGTCAGATGAAAATAGAAACATTTCTTTTTCGAATGTATGTGCATCTGCTTTGTACAGAAACATATCTAATTTGCCATTACACGATATGTTCACATTTCCATATATAAAAAGTGGCATGTACACATGCAAATACATATCGTGTAAGAACACCTTAATACATGTAAGTTAGATTTAGACTTTGGTTCTTAGAAAAAAATAACTAGGAAAGAAAAGCAAAAATAATAAGGCGCCCTTTTTTCGTCAATGACCCCTTTTTTGCGACTTTCTGAAAATTTTCAACGGCAAGACCGATTGCAATACCTCTAGTTCGATATACAAGCCATGGTAGCGTTGCATAAGCCAATATAATTATGTTGGTTAAGTCTTTCATACAAAATAAGCTAAAAGCCTAAATTTCTGGTCAAAGAAAACAGGCCTATTAATAGATACTAGTGAACCCGCATGGCGTTAAACCACCCAAAACTAAATTTCAAAAACTTAAAAAATATTCCAAATGTTAGTCAGAGTTAAAAGGGATCCGAGTGCCAGTGAAGAGCAGTCTGGCATAGGCCATGTTTTTAGTTTCATCAAATTTCAAATCACCCTATATCGATGAAAAAAAAGTTATTAATTAAAAAAAATAATAAAAACTTCACCACACATCTACAGGTGAGGTCTTTAATTTGACCACTCATCATGAAAAATCCTCCTAAATAATTGAATAATTTGAATGTATCTTTTTAAATACGTAGCATCCCTCTTCAAACATTCCAGATGGTCAAATTGTATGGTCGGTGTTATGCAGACAAACTTTTGTGTGCCAAATTAAATGGCGGCTGCTTAGTTTGCTCGGAGGTGGTTATGTCGAGTTTGGCACTGGGATGCACGTTCATTATGGTTTTCATGGCTATTGCCAACACGAAATGAGAATTTCAGATGTACATAACGCGCACAATTTAAAATTTTTGTATATGACAACACCGAATTTGCTGCAGTTTGACCAAACAAAATTAGTTTGCTGTGAGAGTCGCCAAACTCGCTCTCTCCGAATTTGCTGCAACAACAATTGCACGCAGTTTGCCAAACAAATTTTCTGCATAACACCAACCTATGTGGACGGGCCTTAAGTGAAAATGGGAGCATATCTATGTTTTAGTTGGCAACTACGCTTGCTTGACATTGAGCTAAGCAAAGGCACAAACCAAACGATAACTTTGGCACAGGGTAACGCAGATTCTCTGATTGAAATATGAAAGCAGGGTGCTATGACCGAAGTCCCATGAACTACCATGATCCAACTACACAAGATCTGACAAGATGAAGCAAAAGAAAAAAGTAATTTTCTGGCTGACGTTTGTAATCTCAGCGCCATGTTATTTTCTTTGAAAAGTAAACAAAGAATATGAAGACGAAGCGCAAAAAAAAATGCAAGCAATTTTGCAGCACATGTTTGTGCTAACAAAATTATTGTTTTGTACGTGTTTTTGCCATCAATCACCGCACACTTCATTTTAATTACATTTGCACAAAAAATTTATTGAACATCGCTTAAAAATCAATGAAATAAACCACCGACAAAATACACATAAAGAAAGAAGCAAAACAGAAATAGCAAGCTTCAAAATTACGAACGTCACACACTTTTTTCTCAATTGCTATTACAAATGGCTGCTTCTCAACCGGTACGCTTGCATCTTCATCGCCAGGAGCACCATTAGAACCTTCTGCCCTCAGATTCTTCATCGCCAGGAGCACCACCAGTACCCTCTACCCTCAGCTCCTTCATCGCCAGGAGCACCATGAGTACCTTCCGCCCTCAGCACTTTCAACGCCAGGAGCACCTTCAAAGTGTAGGTCCAACTTGTCAAATTTTGCAAAGTTGTAAGAAAACTTAATTTTTCTGAACCACCATAAATTATTTGCAACTGTTAATATATATCAAAAGAAAGGTAAACCGATTACCTTTCTTTTGATTATAACACCGTTAAAACTGCTTTACGTTTTCATAAAAACTTTGCAACTTTTGTAAACAGCTATATATAAGCAGTGGAAAAGTGGTAAAATTTTGCAAAGTTGTAACAATACAGATTTTTTCTGAACCACCATAAATTATTTGCAACTGTTAATATATATCAAAAGAAAGGTAAACCGATTACCTTTCTTTTGATTATAACACCGTTAAAATTGCTTTACGTTTTCATAAAAACTTTGCAACTTTTGTAAACAGCTATATATAAGCAGTGGAAAAGTGGTAAAATTTTGCAAAGTTGTAACAAAACAGATTTTTTGTGAACTAGTGTAAATGATTTACAACTGTTAATATATATCAACAGAAAGGTAAACCGATTACCTTTCTTTTGATTATAATATTGTTAAAATCGCTTAACTTTTTTATAGAAATTTTGCAACTTTTGAAACCGTCTATATATAAGTCGAAAAAACGCAATCAAATTTTGCAAAGTTGTAATGAGACTGAATTTTTGTGAACCATTATAAATGATTTGCAACTTTTAATATATATCAAAAGAAAGATAAATCGATTACCTTTCTTTTGATTATAATATTATTAAAATCGCTTAACTTTGTTATAGAAATTTTCCAACTTTTTAAACATCTATGTGCAAATGAGTAATACTAATAATAAGAAATTAAGCCAGCGCATATGTATGTATGTAAAAATATATTTATTAATGTTAATTTCAAGGTTTATTCATAATATTGGTTATTAAGTATGTATATTATGCATTTTGAAAATAAATTTTGCAAAATAAAAAAACATTTTAGGATTTTTTATTTAAAGTTTCTAAGGTTATTTTGAATTCGCTGTGAAGAGAATGCAACCCTGAGCTGGCAGAAGGGGGCAATGCTAGACTAGTGCAGCTATATGTTTTCCTTACGAAGTATCTGAATGAGTGCGACAGTGATGCCGGCTCACACGTACAGGGGGAAAGTGGTGACAATCTGACACCCCAATACAAATGTCACCAGTTTTGAAGTGACCGAAACCCGCGGTTTCACCAGATTTTTCACCACTTTTGGCAAGAATGATGATAGAAATGATAGAAACAAAGGTTTATTTACAAGTTACCACAACTGTCAAAATCGGCGAAACCAAAGTAGCGGTACCACTGACGGCGCCACCTTTGTTCGCTGCACCGTGCACTTTTGGCTGGCAGGGTATACAGTTATTTTAAAAACAATAAGAATAAGAGGGTCTAGTAAACACGTTGTTATTTTAGCATTTAACATAACAATACATACTTTTAGTAAATTTTCAAAAATGGAATTAAGAAATACAAAGCTCAAGGAGTACAAAACTTATTTAATTAGTGAGTTGAATATAATAGCACTCATACAGTCGCCTCTAGTTTTTTTTTTAACTATTTATATTTTCGCATCGACATGATAAAAGGTTTAGGGCTCTATGAAGAAGGAATGAAATTAGAAGAAATGAAGCAAGTGATGCAAGCACTGGAGGAATCGCAGCTGGAATGTGAGACGGCTTTCTTTGAAAGCGATCTTGAGCATGCTCGGAAGGTACAACGCTAACATTAAACACAATAATAGTAAAAAAATTAAACAAATTCATATCCCAGGAAAGCGAATTGGAATATGTCCAAATGCATTGCGATGCTCATTCTTCTACAATGATTATGCAGGCAAATGAAGTGCATAACGAAAATATAGTTAAATCGGTAACGCACTGGTAAGATTTATTTCAATACGTAACGTGCAAGTAAACTATTCATGTATGTATTTTGTTGTTGTCTTTAGCCACAATACTCCAATGCATAGTTTTCCAAACTCCGATACATCACCATTTAGCAGCCCAGAAATAACTGCGAAGAAATTAGTTGTGGAAGCTATAGTACATCACGAACTAAATTGGAGTCCACCACGGAAGAATAATAAAATAGATGAGTGTTTTAGACCTAAATGCTTAAATAGTAGCTACAACAATGGAAATACCGAAAAACGTAAGGTAGTGGAAAATGAAGTTGTTGTTTTTGGGGCTAAGCGATCAAAACGTCCGACTACCTCGTCCCCCAAAACTTTTGGAAGAAGTGATTCAGGAATTCACCTTGATTTAAATTTAGAGGATATTGATAAAAGCAACGAGCACTACCAATCGGATCCTTCACTTTAATATTTTTTAATAAGTACATGCGATATTTTTCATTATGAA